CTCCCATTTGCAGGTTTGGAAGCTCAGAGAGGGAATTTCTTTATCCAAAGGAATGCAGCGAGTGAGAGTTCAGATCAGAACAGAAACCAGGGTCTTCCGGCTACAGAGCCTGCCACCTGTCCTTGATGTGAAACCAGGTCCCTGATGCTTGAGAGTTCCAGCTCCTGGGATCAGTGATTCAGCAAAAGGAGGGAGACTCAGAAGCCATTAGCCAAGGTGCCTGGGGCTTGGCTGGGATGCAGGGCAGGCTGGGGCAAGATCCCAGAAGGCTGTGAGGTTCTCGGAGGTGCCATTATCCACCCGCCTCCATGGGACAGGCCTGCAGAACAAAGCCCATATGGAGAGCACTTGTGGAGGGAGAGGGCTGGGCAGGGGACACCCGCAGGTCACGGGCTGCCCTGAGAGCCTCCTCTGCTCCGGGCGTTGAAGACGGGCTTTACAAAATGCAGAAACTCTGCGTCTGCTTCACGCCTAAATCCTAAGGCCTAACAAGAGGCTCACTATGGAGTAGGGACCCTTTCTGGGTAGAGCCGAGTGAGGGAAACGTGGTTGAGGCTAAGAGGGGAGGACATGGGGTCTACTTAGTGCAAAAACTGCTGCCTGCAAAGTTGAGTCTCCTGGCGTGATGAACGGGAGACCCCAGCACCCCTGGGCATGTGTACCCAGCTGTTCACCACCATCAGCTGCCCGGACCTTGAAGGAGGCTGCTAAACTGGCCAAACATGTCTTCTGCTTGGAGCCTTTGCTTACGTCCCAGAGCCCCCGTCCCTCAGTCTAGCGCACTCAAGGCAGCCTGTTACTGTGGGGATTAAAGAGAACCTGGGTGGCGTGCCGCTCATTCCCTGGGGGAGAGCTCCCAACGCTTGCTTCTCCAGCCGATGGAGGGGAGGGGTGGCCAGTAGGGGACCTTCCCAATCATCTATGATTGAGAAGGTCACTGACCAACCGGGTCCGCCCTTCCGATGTTCCCAGCCCCCCTGGGAGGAAAGGTGCTTGTATAAGGTGGGCTGTGCGCTGCTCACGCGGACACAAACAAGGAGTCGCAGAGAACAAAGTCAGCTTTGCAATGAAAATTCAATCAAGCGCCCAGGAAGAGGAGGCATCTGAGCCAGACCTGAGGGGAGGGGACAGGCCCACGGAGAGGCAGAGAGGGCTGGGCCTGCGCCCTCTGTCCCCTCAGCTGGCTGGGCCTGAGCCTCCCACTGGGCAGGAATAAAGAGGAGCAGCTCCCAATTAGCTGAAGGTACCAGGTCCAGGGCCTCCTCTCCGGGGCTGAGTTTATCATCTCAGAGTCGTTCTAATTCTGACCGGGGATGTGGGAAGCTGAGCAAGCTCCTTGTCCCGAGGACAGGCCATTTTACCCTTTTGGACCTCAGAGGCCTTTGTGTGACATGAAGATAAAACTCAACACTGTGGTGGAGGCTCAAGGGGGCTGGAGCAGCTTGTGGTGACTGGGGAGTGGGCGTGTTTGGATGTGGGCCCGGGAGCGCAGGGTCAGTCCTTGAGGTGGGGGCCAGGAGCTTTCCTCTGTTCCTGAAGCCCAGGCAGCACGCCCAGTCGCGGGTGCTCACTGCGAGCGCATCTCCAGACACGCTTGCCCACAGGCCCTCAGTGCCAGAGATCCTTCTGGAACCCAGGTCCTGGGCTGGGTCCTCCCCCCACCCCCACCTCGCCCACTGTCAAGAGCTCACACTGAATACGAAGACAGCTTGGAAGCCATCATGCAGTTTAAGGGCAGAGATGTGCCGTGTATGTCTGTTTTCTACTAAAGTGCTTAGCACACAGAAAAACTTGAAATATCTGTCCAGTGCCCAGGGGGATGCGCTCTCCCCCCAGACTGCTAGCCCGACCACACGGCAGCTGCCCGTCCCTTCCCGGGGCCCTTGACGCGAGAACCGAGAGTTTGCTAGTCTACGCGTGTTCTGGCTCTGAAGCCGCTCTCTGCAGTTACAACCACCTTCGCAGCCCAGACAGTAGCAGCCTCCCTGGTTGCCTCTGCCAGAGAGGACAGGCCAGGGACTCATTCCTGGGCCCCCGAAGGCAGCCTTTCCGCCTGTAGTTTAAGCAGACAAAGTCCATTATACAGTGACAGTAAGTAAGCAGATCCCTCAGAGGGAAAACAAACAGCAGGGAAAACCCCACCCCTCGAGTCAGCTCTGCCAAGGGCTGGCAGGGGCCTGGGCGCAATCTGCCTTGTCAGATGACTTAGCCTGCCGTCCCAGGCCTTCCTCCCATCCCTGCCCACTCGCCGGACTGTTTCCTTATTAGCCACCTCCTGTGGCGCCTCCTTCCCAAACCCAGTCCTGGGTTTAGCTCCTTGCTCCAAGTCCCAAGGCCCAGGTTCCAATCCCCACAGGCCTTTGGCCACTCTCTCTGGGCCTAAGTTCCTACTTGTCACTAGGGAATAAAAATGCCAGCACCTCCTGTGGTTTTACCAAAGATGGATAAGATAACACAAAACCCTGTCACATAAAGTGTGTGTCCTCTGCCTTCCCTGCAGAACCCCCCTCTACAGTAGACCCGCTCCGTGGGCCCTGCCTCATAGCAGACAGACCCCTCCCTCCTCACGGGCCACCAGGGAGTCTCCTTGCCAGTCAGACAAGCTGGGTGAGAGGGGATAAGGGTTCAGAAGAGGCTGTAGCCTTCAGAGAAGCAGTTAGGGGTCTGGGTCTTTTTCTAGCAAGCCCCTTTCCTTCTCTGAGCCTCAGTTCCTCACTTGTGAAACAGGATCAACCTCTTGGTCCCACAGAGGTCACCAGTCGTTGAGAAGAATGTTCTGTACAGCCAGGGGGGAGAGTGATTAAGGGCGGGAGCAGCGCGGAAGGCCTGGGAGTTGAGTGATGGGGTCAGAAGCTACTTTTTACAGAAGAGAGGTCCCCTGCCTTGGACCCACTGTTAGGAAACTCGCCTGCCCCCCTGAGAGAATTCAGTTCCCCTGCTGCCAATCCAAGCTCTTCCATGTTCTGAAGCAAACATCTCTTGCCCCTCCTCCTGAGCTGCAGGGAGAAACTGCCCATTCCAGTGTTGTTCTCTCTCCCCTTTCAACTCTGCAATTCACCTCCCTCAGGAAGTCCTCCTAGATTAGGCACATACAGCCTCAAAACGCTTTCCTTTTTTAGCATATCTCCCGGCACTTGAGTTAACTTAGAAGGCAAAGGCTGCAGTTTATAGCCTCCCTGGCTAGTGCCTGGTGCACAGTGTGCACTCAGGAAATAACCACTGGTTAAATATGTATGTTGAGGACTGGTTATGATTGCTCGTGCTTCTGTTGTTGCACATTTGAAGAGTTAAGGGCATTCCACCACACAGGAGATTCCTGAGACGACTAGAAGTCTCAGTGGACAGGAATCCCGCCTCTCCTTTTTGGGGTTCACAGCCTATACCCAGATTTTGACCAGGTTAATTCCATTCAAGGTCCTCGGTTTACCCTGCCATACCATCGTCAGACGCTCAGCAGCAGAGTCAAGATCAAGGACTTTGGCCTTTGAATCCAGGCTCAGTCACATACTATATGACCTTCAGCAAATTACACAGCCACTCTGAATCCAAAAAGAAGGAAAATACCCATCTCGCCCTGCGGTTGTAAAAAGCAACAGAAAACGTGGCACAGTGGCTGGCACATGTTCATTAAATAAACCCAAGTTTGTTGCTATGACAGCATGAGGCTTGACCCCTAACCCAGCTGCAGTCACCCACACCCTTTCTCTGCTGTTCAAACTTGCCTTTCTCTTTTGCAGAATGCAGTGTACAAAGAACATGCAGGCAGACAAAGAGGAATTGCGGAGAGAGGGAGGTGGATGGGGAGAAGGCAGCCCTTCCTTCTGGCAGGCAGAGTAGCCAACTATTTGTATCTCCCCTTCCAGGAAGCGAAGCCCCACCACGGGACTTTCTAGGTTCATCTTTCCTCCCCAGCTTGTTCAGCCTCCAGGGAGAACAGGACTCCGACCACATTCACTGAGTTGAATCACAACAGTGGAGCCAAGCCACTTCTGCTTGTATATTCTGAGTGCGGCACGGAAGGCTGCTGGTGTTCCTCAACAAATCTCAGCGCGAGGAAGCCAGGTCTAGCGAATAAAAATACGAAGTTCCCATTAAATGTGACCTTCAGATAAATAGCAAGTAATTTCGGAATCAGTATGTCTTGTGTAATATTTGGGACAGACTGATAATAAAAAATTATTTGTTGTTTATCTGAAATTCAAGTTTAATGGAGTGTCCTATATTTCGCCTAGAAGCCCTAGCTGGTAGGCTGTGTACCCAGGTACCCCTACCTATGGGCACAGAGTATAAAGATTAAAATCTTCCCCCACCCCACAACCTACCAGCCTCACCAGAATTCTGACCAGCCACCAAATCACCCCTTTCTTTCAACCCCTAAGAAGAGTAGACTTAAGAAGTGGGTGCTTTTTCCTAAGCTGCTGAGTCTGGCCACCTTCCTCCTCAAAGTGCCCAGTAGAGTCAGCACAGGGTGGGGGCTCAGAATTCACCCCCCTCCCTCCTCCCAGGCTGCTGAGCTCTGCAGGCTCAGAAAGGGGTGTAAATGCCAGGAGCCAGGCAGGTGGACTTGGGGGGCCTCCTAAGAGCAGCATGGCTGGCGTCAGGGTGGGGAGGTCACCCCATCCACTTCCTGGGGTTGACTGAAGATCAAATGAAAAGGTGGCCGGGGACATGTTTCTAAGTCGGATTACTACCAAGACATGTGAGTGACCCATTTTACCACGGGGCCCCCACCCCAGCTCTCGAGGAAGAGCTCCTCTAGGCCGAGGACGCACTGGACGGGAAAGCCAGCGCCTCTGGACACGGTAATCACGATGCCAGACACCTGCCCGGCACCGTGTCATTCGCCCAACACGTCCCCGTCCCTCCTGTCTACGGGCCTCCCCGGCCCCACACCTAAGGGCAGGTTCCGGGCCCGTTTTCTGGGGGGTGGAGGGGCAGCAGGAGGGGGCCCGAGGGGCTGGGCGTGGGGTCCACCGGCGGGAGGGCGGGGCGGGTCCTACCTTCTGGGCCTGTTGGATCATCTGCCTGACCACCTGCTTGAGGTGGGGCGCCCTCTCCTCCTTGGGGGGGTGAGTGTAGAGGGTGAAGCGGTTCGCCCCGCGGTACAGGCCTGTGTTGGTCCATCCCAGGTCCAGCGGGGGCACCTCGGTGTCGGAGAGGTCGGGCCAGTAGGCCAGGGACTCGCCGGGCTCCGCCGGGGCGCCGGCCTGGGCCTTGGCCTTGGCCTTGCTCTTGGGCGCGGGCGCGGCGTCCTCGTAGGGGCGCCAGGCGGCGCGCAGGGCCTGGCGCTCGCCGCTGGAGAGGAAGTCCCGCAGCCGCTCCTCCTGGACCCGCTGGCGGTAGGCCTGCTCGCCGCCGCCCAGCAGGGCCTCCAGCGCGGCGCGCCGCCGCTCGCAGTAGTAGAAGGCGGCCTGCGCCTCGGTCACCCTCTCGTTCACGTGCGCGTCGTCCAGGCAGCTCAGCTGGGACTCGGCCATCGCGCAACGCCCGCCGGCCCGGCCCGGCCCGGCCCGGTCCCGCCGCCGCACCTGGAGCGGTCGAGGGGCGGGGCGCTCACCTGGCCGCGGGGCGGCCAATCCGCGCGGCCCGGGCGCGGGCGCGGCCGTCTGGGGGAGGGGCGGGCGGGCGGCCGCGCCCTCGGGGCCTCCGCGGGGAGCGCGCCTGGGTCGGGGGCGCCGCCCCGGAGCGGGACCCCCGTGCGGCCGCCGGCCCCGCCCCACCCTGGTGGGGGGAGGTGGGGGCCGAACCCCGGTCTTGCGGCCAGGCCGGTCGGCCCGTCGCAGGCAACTTCGTTTCCTCAGCAGGTTTGGCCGAGGCGCCTCCGCGGGGGCACCTCACCCTCAGGGTGGAGGGTCTGGGGGCCCTGGCGTGACAGGATTGTGAAGGCTGAGGAGGGGCCGGTGGTGTGTGAACAGCACCTCGAGCTGCGGCCCCACGCCCCAGTTCTGAGATCTGAGGCCCCAGGGCCTGTCAATGCAACACCTCCATGATGAAAATTTATTTACCCCCAAATACAGCAAGTGTGTGGACAGCCGCGGTGAAATGCCCCCACATTCACATTTTAACTTAAAGTGGGGTGTGTGTGTTTGTCAAGATAGGCTGCCAGAGACCTGATTACTGTGTTAGTGATTTAAAATGTACGTTTGAACTTAAGGAAGACAAACACAACACGTCACACACTCACTCACACACACACACACACACACAGACACACACACACTCCCCAGCAGCTCTGCTTTTCCCCCATTGGATTAAATACAATCTTCTTAGTCATTAACGTATTATTTTGTTCGTGCACTGCTGTACAATTTGATTCTCCACATTCAAAATATTTTCAGATCATAGCAACCAGGTTCACATTTCTCTCATTTTATAGTACAGCATCTTAGAGCTGGAAGGAGCTTTACAAATTAGTCCAACCCCCTCATTTTACATATGAGGAAATTGAGGCCTAGAAGTATGTGGTTTGCCAAGGTCTCCCTGGCAAGGGGACTATTAAGTTCTCTGTTTGGAAGAGCTTGGCCCCAAGTCGCAGCCACCTTTGCCCTTTCTGCTTCTCCATGAAGTAGAAGGTCACTGGGGGGACTAGTTTTAACCCCAGGGGATTTGAAGAGGTTGGCTGCTATTTCTGGGTCTTTCTTTGTTGGTCTTCCAAAATGGAGTTTGATTTTCAAATATCTGCAAATTTTGTGATAGTCATCAGTTCTGGTATCCTATGTCAGTCCAGAGATTGGGGGTGAGAAGCAGATGGGAACCTGTCACCTCACCTGTGACCTCTGCTGCTCTGAGAATTGGAAGGCCTCCCTCCTAGTGACCCTCTGACCCTCAGTTCTTTTTTTTTTTTTTTTAAAAGATTTATTTGTTTATTTATACAAGCACTGGGTACAGTCAGAAGCGCGGGAGGGTGAGAGAATTCACCAGAGCCAGAGCGGGGAGCAGAGCAGGCAGACTGATGAAGTACACTACTGAGGGGAGCAGCGGGCAGCAGGAGAGGTCTGCATGCCATGTGGGACCCTCACCCGGCGGCCGGGGATCGAACTGGCACTACAGAGGCTGTGGGCAGCTTCGCAACCCAGCGCTCAACCGCTGTGCCACCAGGGAGGCCCTGACCCTCAGTTCTAAGCACAGATTTCATCTTTAGATGGAAGAGTAGTTGTTTTGTTTCCTAGTGGTCTGAGGCCCAACAAAATGCCAGACTCTGTGCCCTGGGGACACAGGAGTTGGGACAGTGGGAGGAATAAACACACAGGAGGATAACACACATGTGATAAACACACTTCAATAACCTCAATTAGTGACGCGTTGGAAGCAAACATTTATCCAATGCCTGCTAAGTGTTGGGCACACACAATGCCCTCAGTGCGCATTTCTATAAAAAGCAGTGAATTAGGGCCGAGAGAAGCTGTTTAGGAGCTGTAGTGACTCTGAGGGAAGAGTAATTCATTTGCCCAATGGGACGTGGATAGGAAGAGCTTCTCGGAGCAGGAAGGGATTTTGACTGGAGCTTAATGGAAAGACACCAAGGGGGAAGGGAGGGAAGACATTCCAGGCAGAGGGAGTTGAGGCTGGGGGTGGTGGGAGTGTTGGGCCAGCTTTAGGCACAGGCAGGTTCAATTCAAGGTACTTAAACTCAGAGCCTCAGTATCCACATCTGTAAAATGGGATAATCCTGTTGAACTCCCGTGACCTCCTAGAATGTTGTAGGGATTAAATGAGAACGTGTTTGATTTAATTATCCCTTGCGTCCAACTGGTACAAAGTGATTCACAACAGAGCTTCTAAAATTTTACTATGTATAGTTATCACCTGGGGGTTCTTGCTAATATGCAGATTCAGATTAGGTAGGTCTAGTGAGGCCTGAGCTTCTATATTCCAGCAGGCTCCCAGGTCGTACTAGTGTTTGGGCCATGGATAGCGCTTTGCACACGCAGGATTTCAGAGGCCATTGAATCGGAGTGAGAACTTTCATGCTAGGGAGGCCTGAAATGGCGTCCTACTTTTTTGGAATAGGCTGGGTATCTCTGGGAAAGTTACTTCTCCTTTCTGAGTCTCAGTTGCACCATCAGTGAAATATAGGCAATAATGTCCTACCTCATGGGGCTGGCACAGGGCAGCATCTAGGAAAGGGGCTGAGTGTGGGAAGATGGGACTAGAAAGAGAGAGGTGCTAGGGATGAACTATGGGGGCCTTGACTTTAGATCTTATTCTGTCACTGGAGGAAAGCCATTGAAGGTTGTTAAGAGACTGATATGGTCATAAAAAATAACAACAATTACTATGTGCCAGGAACTGTGTTATGTATTCTAAGCATCTTTCAAATGAATTCATGCAATCTGATTAGAAAAATTATTATTATCATCCACATTTACAGGTGAGAAAACAGAAGCATAGAGAATTTCAGTAGCTCACTGAAAGCCACCCAGCTTGTAAGTAGAAGAGCCAGCATTCAAACCCAGACCATCTGATCCAGAGTCTACCTCCCCACCCACCTGACTATCCTGCCTCAGTGGAGAACACTAGAGGGGACATTAACAAGAGAAACTATTCTCCTTGCTTATCATTTGTTTGTTTAATCAACAGACATTTGCTGAGTGCCTAGGTGGCTGAGGCAACCAACAGCAAGCATCCATTGACCAAATCCTTACTGAGCCTGCATAAGCACCAGACTCAGTGTTTGCTGCAGCACTGAACAAACCCAGTCCTTACTCACGTGGAGCTTTCATTGAAGTGGAAAGATTAAGACATGGTTTTGTTCTCAAGGAGATCAGATGTCATGTGACACACACTGGAATTGGACAGAAGGTTAGAATCAGAGTAGAATAGTTTAGTACATTTCACAATGGAAAAAAGATCTTGCCTAGATCTGACTGATAGGAAACACACTGTTGTCTTAATAATATCTGCCTTTATCCACCAGTGATTTATTTATTCGGCCGGCATTTTTGAGCAGTTAATATACACTAGATAACATGCGCTACTGAGAACAGAAAGGAGTCAGATAGGATAGGAGCAGTCCTGGGGGTTCCCAGTTTAGCTGGGGGTCAGATCCCCGCAGCTCTCCTTACAAGGCAGGTGACAAGGGACAACAGCATTTCCTGAGCGGTGACATGTGTGGTGGAGGCGTTTCATGGACAGGCTTCGCATTTGGCTCCCCTCCTCCCAACCTGGCAGGCTCGATTGTGAAAGGAATAAAGGAGAGGTGTGACAGATGAATAAACTGAGGCGCCAGGGGGTGGGACTGCCTGTCCAAGGCTATCAGCTGGCCAGCGGAGATGCTGAGACACCCTCCATGCAGCCTGACCCCGCACCTCCCCGCTGCCCAGCACTCTGTGCTTTGATTGAGATTTTTAAAAAACCAGGGAACAGATTTCTTTTAGGCACAGGCGGAGCTCAGCAGGACGGAGCTCAGCAGCTTGGTGTTTGGGGACGTTCCATGAGGCGGTGACACCCTAGGAAAGCCCCGGGTCCTCTATTGGCCCCTCTGGTCCTGGCCCTTGTGGCTGCAAACTGAGAGGCCGCCTCTCCCGGGTGACTGTGCCTTCCTGAGAAACCATGCCCCTCCCTGGCAGATGCCTCTTCCTCCTGCCTGGGTTCTTGGCTCCTTCCCTTCCTCGCTGCCGGCTGCAAGCAGTGAAGATATGACACCTTGTAGTTAACATTCATTGAACATTCATTGTAGCTGTGTTCATCCTTGCACACGGCTCCTCTCCCAGGCCCTCCTGTGCAATTGGAATCCCAAAATAGCCCACCTCATGATATATTCTTAGATAACTTTCCCAGAGTTGACTTTTTTTTTTCCTCTGTGGCAATTTGTGTCATGAGCTCTGGTGATAAAATGTTGGGAGCTCTCTCACACCTCTGTAAGATTCATGCTTGCCTGTGCCTGGAGAGCTGACCTGCGAGAGGAGGTGTGTGGAGGCCGGGATGAACGGGTTGAGCCACTTTCTCCTCTGCGGGGCTCTGCTGGCCTGGAGGAATGGATCCAGCCGGGCCTCTCCCTGCCACCCATGACTCCCCTAGGGCTGTCATCTGCTTGCTCTGGAGTGATTGTCTCAGCACTGATTATGTTCCAGGCAAATGCCCGCCCACCCAGACCTCCAGACTCAGGACTTTGTGGCCTGACAGCCTGGGAAGCATCTAGGTTTCTCTTCCCACATGCTTTGCGACTGCTGTGCTCCTCCGCTCCCCGGGTTTTTCTGCCCCTGTCTGCCATCCCTTTCACAAAACGTGGGTGCTCTTCCAGGCTCCTCCTTGGCCTTCTTGTCTTTTAAACCTGCTAACTGGAAATAAAAATCTCGATAACACTTAGACAAAGAGTTTATTAGCTAATCAAAGTGAGGATTTGAGTCTGGGAAGCAGTTGAACAGATTTTATGCTGTAAGAACTGTTCCAATAAATACAAGTTTGAATTTTATTTACATATGTAGGAACAGTGAGTTATTGACCTTGAAAATGTAATTACTCTGGACAGCAGTGCTTCTGTTCTCAGTTGTTTTGACCTAAAGATATGTCAGTACTGACACTATTTATGTGCAGAGGAAGGCCAT